AACTAAAGGAGGAAACTACCTCTGGGGGAAGCTGCTGGTACTCCTGCTGACTTTCTGTGTCTTGAAAATGAGTCTTTATACAAAAATAGTGTGATCAAGTAGTTGTCTCTTGGTTTCTCAGGAGGATAAAGCAATGTCTTCTCCTCCTAGTGTTAGCAGTCTAGGAGTTTCTTCTCTCCTTTGCAAGTTGCTCAGACACATTTAGTGCTCAGCTCCCCTTGCTCAAACTGCTCTCTTCAGCTGCTCACCTGAAGACCTCTGAGCAGCACTGCCAGAGCGGCTGTCTCATAAGGAAAGGGATGGGCTGCAGTACCTGGCTGGTATGCACAGCAGCATCCTGCATAACAGGGGGAGGAGGGAGTACAGTCTGGAGACTCATCCCTGCAAGATAGTTACGTGGATCCTGTTAGACCATGAGGCATGTAGGCTGATCATCCTGTGCTCTGGGGAATCTGTGGCTTCCAGCTTGTCTCCTGCCCCAGCAGGATTTGCAGCACAGAGCCTCTGTCTCTCCAGCACAAAGTCCAAGCCCTTGGCTGAAAAACCACCTTCATCAGCAATTTTGCCTAGATGCCAGGCTGTGGACTAGCAGGGCTCAGGAGCAGAACTGCTTACTTCTGTTGACTTGGATCCCGGGCAAAGGAGGGATGTGTGCTGTTTTAGGGCTGGAGCACATGCAGAGCCCTGAAGGACTCCAAATTCCTGCTGGGAGTTGCAAGCGTTGGCTGTCCTTCCAGAGGCTGTCCCAACTGTAGTGTCCATGCTGCACCTGAGTGGTGTGCCAGCAGCAGGCACTGCAGCTTTCTTGCTAGAGGAGCAGATATTTCTTCTGCATAATCCCTTGTCCCAGCCCAGCCCTGCAGGTTTTTTTCAGCCTCTCATCTGTGTTCTCTAAAAATCCATTACAATCAGCAGGGAGCTGATTTTGCTGGTGTAGGGTTTGATTTCCCCAGGTAAGGCAGTAAATATGTCTCTGGCCATGCACAACAATCCCTCACTGGGGAGCACATGTGGCTGCAGAGCTGCTGTTGTGCTGCTCCCTGCTCACTGTGCAGTGGCTGTTGTGCTTCCAGATACGAGGTCTTTGCTCAACTGATTGCCCCCTTCTTGACCTAATGCCTGCAGAAAGGGCTGCTTACTGTAGCAGCTGTGGTCTGAAAGGAAAAGACAAGCATTCTCACAGCCCTACCAGTTACGGTGTTCATCAGATGCTACAGACAGTGTAATAGAACAGAAAACTCTTTGGCCTTGGGAGGGCTTCGGCAGCAATACCATTAAGACCCCAGTGCTCCTGTTGAAATCATACTGCTGGGATGAGAATGAGCGGGAAGAAGGCAGAAGGCTGCAGATAGTGTTTGGGATCAAAACTTTCAATTCCTGGCAGTGTTAGCATCTGCTCTCTGACCTCAGGCAAACCACTCTTTCTTCACTGGCCTCTGTCCCCTTGCCAGTCTTGCACAGCTCACAGACTGGCTGCCCCTGCTGCTGTCCTGGGCATTCCATAGCACAAGGGAGCTGGTTTGGGTTTTCAAGCAATACTGATGCAACTGAATGTTTTTTACTGCAACCAAATAAGTGCAAAATGAGATTTGTGAAACAGAACAATCTCTTGGTAGTATTTACATCAAAAAGCTAAAGCCTGCAGGCTCTGCATGGCCTGTGGAGTGGTGAGGGAGGATGGTTTGCTTTGTTCCCTTGGGTGCTCAGTTAGTTTTCAGCAAAGCCAGTGTTTATACTCAGTCCCCCTGCTCTGCCCAGCTCAGCAAGAAGCTGCTGTGCTGCCACCTCCATGGGACTGGGGTGCCCCCAGCCTGGCCTTCAGGGCAGTCTGTTGGTGCCTGCAGGACACGTGGCAGGGCTGCTACATCACTCCTCATTCTCCCTCAGTATCTTTGCTACCCTGCCACCTGTGCTCCTTGGCACCATTGCTGTGCTGCATGGGGACAGAGCACGGCCCTGCATGGATGCTCCACTCACGCTTTACATGTCCCCAAGAACCAAAATGGAAAGGCCTTTTGGAAAAAAAACAAAAACAAAAAACAAAAAACACCAACAACAAGAACAACAAGAAAAGTTACCGTAGTTTTCTTATTCTGTTTTTTTTTTTTTTTTTCTTCCTCTTTGATAACACCCAGAGAGTGTTATGACTTCTGTGATAGATAGCTGTCAGCAGCTCTTCGTTGCTCAGCGATCCAGCAGGGCAATAGCTAGTATCCCTCATTAGCACTCCTTGTCCTGGGTGCCTGCACATGGGTGAGTGGCACCCTGCTGCTCCCCATTCATCAAACTGATACTGTAGTAGAGAGCAGCAGAGTTTTGTCTCAGTGTAGTTTGACAGGGGGCCTTTTCTGCTGAGTGCTGCAAGCTGTGGTGTTGTCCTTGTGTGAAGGTTTCCATTTGAAACCTGACCACAAGGGTTAGCTTCAATGTGCTCTGGGTGCATTGGATTTTTTGTTTGCTAGACTCTCTGCAAGGGAACATGGAGAGCAATTTTTAATGCGATGTAAAGGAGCATCACTGTAGCAAATGTGTTGGATTGGAGGTGAGGTCCAGGGTTAGGTTGACTCACCCTGCAGGAGGCCGAGCACATGCAGCTGCTGGCTCTGGCTCTGCAGATGGTGTGTCTGTCTGCTTGCACGCTCCCACCCCCTTGTTCTCCTGCCTTCATTTGGGCAGCCCTCATCTCCATCAAAGCTCTCGATGGGTCGCAGCTCTTCACACTGGCAGGAGCAGCCGCAGCCTTTGCTGTGTGCTGGGCTGGCTGTGTGCCCAGGATCGATCTCCCGCCAGGCTGCAGTGCCCGTGCTGCTGCAGTGCTCTACAGGGTGTGTTTTGTCTTCCCTTGCGCTCTGCAAATGCTAATTAGTCTTCTCAGCACCTTGGCTAGATAAGGCATCCCTGTTCCTATCTTGCCAATAAGGAAACTAGCAGAACTTGTTTTAAATCATCTACTCCTTCATCCGTAAAGATGACAGAGGCTGCAGCACCCACTCCTCTGCTGGCACCCCTGCACTGCCCTCCTGTTTCCTGGGGGAGGTGCAGAGAGCCTCCCTTTATTTACCCTCTCCCAAAAGTGCACAAAATCCTCTGATGCTCCGGAGAGCAGCTGTAGAAAACAGCAGGATGCCATCATCATCACCTCTGGGCTGCAGCAAGGTGGGAGCAGGCAAACGGCTGGGGCCTGTGCGCTGGGACCAGGAGCCCTGCTCTGCTCCAGCCAAGTGATCTGTGCACAGCCAGGCTGCCAAGTGAGCTCAGTTATGATGTTTTTCAGTAGTGCCAGGTATGTTGGTGCTGTCAGAGCAGGCTGGTGCTCCCTACCTGTGAAAACCGGGCTGGCGGCAGGCTTATGCTGTAGCACTTTGTACATTTGGAAGCTATATTTAGTTGGTGACACCTGTGGGTGTTGAGTGGAAGATTTTTAGGGACTGTTTTGAAAGCGTTCTTTCTTCCTACGCTGTTTTAAGGAAGGGAAGTTTAAAAGCCTTGTGGCAAGCTTTGCGCTGTGGAGCCAGGATTCTCAATGAGATGCACGTGGAATGAATGAGACACATGTGGGATTGCCACTGTTTGGTGGTTGAAGCAGTGCAGGCAGGCTGAGAAACTCCTGGTAGAAAAGGGGAAAGGTTTGGGGGCATGGCTGAGAGCTTGGGCTGTCCCTGGGGTGAAATCCCCCTGTGGGAGCCTTACGAAAGGGAGCTGGGGTGGGGGAGTGCAGATGGCTCCATTCTGCCACGTCTGGCTCTGCTTTATTGACACTTCAAAGTCTCCAGCTCAGAGCAAGGCTGGGCCAGCAGGATGAATCATAAGTTTTGAGGCAAGGAAGGATACCGGTTTTGATCATCTAGGCAAAGTTGACCTGTCTTCTGCAGCAGATCAAAGCCAACTTTGAATGGAGTTAAGTAGGCTATTCATGGTGTTTCCTGAGGTGTCCCCAGGTAGGCCCTGCAATTCCTTGGGCCTCTTCTCTTCACTTTCCTCCCTACCCCAGTGAGGAAGGTTTTGTTTCCAACAAATTTAGTGGAGTTGATGCTGGAGGGGCTGCCTCAGTGGTGAGCCCAGTGTGGCTGTTTGGCAGTGCTCAACAGTGGGCTCTGCTGTAGTGCAGAGCCTACAGCAGCCAGCATGCCCTGCAAGACAGGTGTTGAAGACCTGCACCAAATTCCTGCAAGGCTGCAGAGGTTGAAACTTGTTCCAACTTCCTTGGGACTGGTGCAGCAGCTTGACCCCATGTTGCTGTTCTGGCAGGGTCAGTTTTGACAGCTCTTTTTCCAAGGCAGGGCTCAGGGTATTGAACCTTAAATTACCCCAGAGGCACTCAGTTATTTAAATACTCTTGGCTGTAGTGGGGTTTAAGCCCTTCCTAGATCTGACTCCATCTCTGTGTGTTCCTTCTTGTGAACTTGCTGCCCCGTGCTGGGATGCACCAGAGATCAAAGCAAGGCACGACATGAGCGGTGTCCATGTGCTGTGGGCTGGGCCACGTGGGTACACGTCCACAGCCCTCTGCTGTGTGGAGCCAGCTGTGTCGGCATGGAGAGCTGCCTCGCCTCTTCAAGGGCATGTTTGTTTTGCTGTGAGTAACAGCAGATTGAGTTCTGTATGGTGCCTCATGGAACAAGCTGAACTCTTCACCACCCTTCCTCCTTGACTGGCAAGGCCAAGAGGGGAGGGCTGAGCTAGGTGCAGGAGCGCCTTCGTGCAGAGGGGCAGAGTTCAGGACCCATCTTCTTGGAGCATCAGTCACCTGTTTTAATCTGGAGTGGCAGGTTTAACTATGTGGCTTCACCCCATATCTGCACACAGTGCTGCAGTAGAGCTCTGTGTTCAGTGCACCTCCACGTAATCTTGGTGGGCCTCTGTGAAACTCTCGTCCAAAGCTGGCTCTCTTCTGTTCAGCTTTCCCTTGTAGCCTTGCTGTGCTGAATAGGGAGGTGGCTTGCTTTCTGCTTCCATGACTGTCAGCTGTGTTTAAGAGTTTTATTCTCCTCCTTTTACAGAAAACACAACTCCTGCTAAAGTGGTGAGGGCTGCCAACCCGAGACAGCGCAAGGGAAGCAAGGTAAGTCCGTGCCTGCTGTGCCCCTCACTGGCTTCTAGCTTCTGATTCAGATGTCAGTGCTGTGTGAGTGCCTTGAGGGTCTGGTGAGGAGACAGCTTCCTTTGCAAGTGTGATGGTGGAGGCATTGATGTACTGAACTGGCTGTCAGCACAGAGCGTGCAGGAGAATGTCCTCATTTTTCTTTTAAGCATTTTGACATTTTCATGCTCTGGGGACTGGTTCCTGCCCAGTTGGGCTGGGGGAGACCTGGTTCACCTCCCTGCCTGAAGGGATCGTTCATAGCACAGTGCTGGATGTCAAAAGCTTGTATCTGCAGGTTTTTTTCTTCCCTCTCCAGCCTGTTCTTTAGTGGTACACAGAGAGCAAGGGTAATTGACTTCAAACAAAGCAACTTCTCGGGAAGAACCAGGGCAATCTGTTCCAGGGAATCAACCTGTGATGGAGAGACAGTTGTTTCTGAGGATGTTGGATGCAGCTGAAGCACAGCTAGGGATGTGGTTGTTGGTGTTGTCCCAGCAGCCACTGAATATGCATTTGAAACTTGATATGACTTCCTTGTCTGTTCTGTCTCAAGGAAGCAGGGCTTTGGTTGTGAAAGGTGCTTCTGTCTGTGAAACAAGCATGGCTGTACACTGCAAGTGGCTTTCCCAGGAAACTTGCCTCCTAGGGAGAGAAACATGGCACCTGAACCCAGAGTCCTGATCTTATGGGCAACTTGGCTACAAATTAACTTAGGAATAATAGTCCCCTCAAGGACAAGGAGGAGTTTCTATGCCCAGATCATTGTAAATTCAGTGATGAGCCATAATTCATTGTATGCCAAGGCAGCTGATTTTTGGGTTCTTTCCTTTCATGTCTTCTGAAAGCTGGAGGAGGTGATAATGATTATATTGGCCAGGTCACTTCTTGAATGGAAGAGACTGGTGATCCTCCCATGTGACAGTGGGATTTCTGAAATAGAGCTAGTATCACCACCAGATAACTGCTTATTATACTTTTTTTCCTCTTCACCAATTCCACTACATGGTCCCTTTGCTTTGTGGTTTTCAACACTGGCAGTTGGTCCCATGAATGAAACTAAACCTGGATGTAATGTACCAGTAGGTCAAGGCAGCTTCTTTGACAGTATGTGATTGCTTTAGGTGAATTAAGTGTGCAGGAAATTGCATTCTTTACCTGTCCAAGGGATGAGGACTATGTGAGTTACCTCAGGCAGCTTTGTGCCATACACTCTGCTAAGTGGGAGCTGGGAGCTTACAGGGCTGTTGGCAGCTTCGTAACAATCTCTGACAGATGTAAATTTACCTGCAGTTATTGAGGGTTAAGTCAGGGGTCCTACTAAAGTGGGGAGAAAAGGCTCTACTGGTGCTTTGGGTGTCATGCCCAAGCCTCTTGGGAACAGTTATGTGGTACACCAGTAGATAGTGGCAGTGACATTGTAGCTGGGAGGGCTTCTGACTGCTGCTCTAGAAAATGGCATTCATAGTTAGCACACTAATGGGACTTTTCTCTTTTGTATTACAAGGTTGGTGACTTCGGTGATGCTACAAATTGGCCAACACCTGGAGAAATAGCTCACAAGAGTGTCCAGGTGAGAAGACAAAATCCTCAGACACTGCATCTGGCTGAGCTGCAGTAATTTGCTTCCATTGTAGTGTGCCCAGAGAGGCTGTGTGTTTGGCAGGCAATTGCATTCTTTGTTTCTCCCGGGTAACAGCTTCAGGGGCTAGTTTGGATGAGCTGGCCCTTGCAGACCTCCCTGTTCCTCTGTGTCACTGGAAGCTCTGGCTGAGCCAGGCCATTTGGGGGTGCTGAGTGCCAGCGTGAGGGCAGCCAAGAATAGCGTGCTGGGTGCAGGGGTTTGCCTTTTAGGGCTGCCCTGCATGTTGGGCTCCCTCCCTGCATGCTATTCTGGGAGCCTGGAGGCTAGTCTAAAGCCCTGGGCTTGGTGGAGCAGGTATAGCAGCTCCCAGATCTACTGTCTTCAGGGCTGCTCAGTGCATTAAAAGGGACCTGAGCAACTGCCAAGACTTTTTCTAGGGAAGCTGAAAACATGTGCAAGAAAAGACACAGGGGAATGGCCTTTCTTTTCTGCTCCAGACATGGGTGGTGTTGAAACCTTTCTGTTCTGGGATGCTGCTTCACCAACTCCTGGCTGACTGTCAGGTCACTAGGGTTACTCTCCCTCTTGCTCCTGTGGCAGTTGGTCCCTTATAGAACCCTGCTACACACATACCTACTCCTAGATCCAGGAGCATCAGGACTCTTGGCAGTCCCTCTCATCTTGTAATGTCTGTGCCTGGGACTTGTGTCTTAGCTGGAGCACTTCCCAGCATCTGTGGAGCTCCTTACCCTGGTCAAACACAAGTCTGTCCCCAGGAACCAGACAGCTCTGGGCAGCGTGAAGCAGGGATGCCTCCAGCATAGGGCCAGGTCCTCTTTTTCCTGCTCCCACTAGGATTGCTGGGCTCTGCCTCCAACTCTTTAGTTTCTCATGACCCTCACATCTTTCCTGCACTAATGTGTCTCCAGCAGCCACACAAAGCACCATCCCTCCGGAAACTGCCTATCAAGAAAGACATGAAAGAACAGGAGAAAGGGGATGGAAGTGATGGCAAAGAGAGCCTGAAAACCAAATCAGATGAGTCTGGTGAGGAGAAGAACGGTGACGATGACAACCAGAAGTCAGCCCAGAAGAAGAAAGGTAAGGCAGGACATGGCAGACTCCTGGCAGGGACAGTTCCCCAGGCTCAGCCTGTCTTCCTTTCTGTGACCCAAAGCTGGGTGGAAGTGTCCAAAACTGTGGGACCAGCTGCAGTCTCAGCATGCTGACAGCTGCAGCAAAAAGGTATTTGCAAGCTTCAACTGAGCAAAGTCTCATTTTGGTAACTGGAGAGGCTCAGGCAGATGCTGAGCACTTGGATAGCTACTTGGGGCATTTGTAAGGGCCTGGTCTGGAGTGGCCTTGCTCTGTTCAGCAGTGTCTTGCAATATGTAGGAAAGCATGCGAAGCAGGGCCTGGGTGTGGGCACCTGTGTGTCTGTCCAGGGAATCTGGCAGTGATCTGCCTCCTTAAGTATACTCTGTGGTGACACAGAAGAGCTCCTGGCTGTGGATTGCATCAGCTATGGTTGCTGCGTGGGCTTGCTTTTGCCTGAGCCTTAGTGGGTGGAAAGGGGGGAAAGGAAGGACAAGTGCATGAAGCCATAGTGGAGTTTTGTATTATGCTTCTCCGTGCCCAAGAGTCTCAGTTGGAGTCTGTCAGCATTCTCGTTATGCCCCTTACAGAGTTTCGGTGACAGCAAGGCCCTGGGGGATAACTGAGGAGAGGTCAGCCCTACTGCTTCCCCCACAGTTGGGTGGGATGTGTGGAGGGAAGAGGCTGTGGGATGGAAGCATCTGCTCTCTGAACCTGTGTCACACTCAAATCCTGTCCTTTTGCAGGCAACAAACACAAGTGGGTCCCTTTGCAGATAGACATGAAGTCAGAGGTGCCTCGGGACAAAACAGCCTCTCGGAACAACCGGCAAAATGAGCAGCACAGGCACCTCTCCAACAACCGTGGCGAGCTGAAAGGTGGGGGCTCAGAATGGGACCCTACTCTCCTTCCTTGACCAGAGGGCAGCAGGGGCACGTGGTGGGAATGTTTTTTGTAGTCGAAGGGCTTCAAGGGCAGTGGGCTTGCTCTGGGGAAGTACCTGCATCCTCTAATGCTCCTTCTGCCTCTCTTTGCTGCAGGCTGGCACCCGGACAACAAGCATGAGCGCCCCTGGCAGGACCATGATGAGACCTCCAGTGTGAAGAGCGAGGGAGGAGCTGTACGAGGAGCCTTCCGGGGCCGAGGCAGGGGCCGTGGCAGGGGCCGTGGCCGGGGCAGAGGAGGTACTTGCTGTTCGTATCGTCTTGTGGCAGAAAGAGAGAACAGGGCACGTGCCAGAGTGCAGGGATATGTATGTGTGACCTGGAGTTCTGAAGGAGACTGGGCAGGGCAGAGTGCTGTAGAGAGACAATGAAGTGTGGCAGGTCATCCCAGCTGGGGAGCGTGAGCAGCCAAAAAGGACTCTTCATTTGAAATACTCTGTGAGGAGCTATGTACTGCTCTGGAGGTGGCATCTAGCTGAGCTGATTTTAATAACAGCAAATTATTTTTGTTAGTATTTTAATAAGGGTGAATGTCTTTGTTATTCAGACTAAGCTCTTCCACCTGTTTTCTGCCCCTTGCAACACTCCTGTGCAGCAGTTGCAGCATGCTGATATTCTGCCTTGGCTTTATGTCACACTGAAAGCCAAACAGGAATCTTTGCTTTTTTGGGAAGAGCTTCTACTAGCATTCAGCACAGCTGTGTCTGTGTGACCCTTGACATAACTTCAGTGCAGAACCTTGGTGCGTTACCTAGGCTATCTAATTGCCCCTGGAGGAGAGTTAGTGATCTCTCTTTGCCTTGGTGTGTCAAGGTTTCACTGGGATCCCTGCTGCAGCAAAGTCTGAGATAAATGGGTGGAGGAATGAGTTGGCAATGCCCTGTTTTGTGCTGTCATGGGGGGGGGCCCCCCAAGGGCGGTGCTGGGAGAGCTGTTATTGCTGGTGCCCAGCCCCACATGGCAGCACAGGCTGTCTGGCAGATTTTGAGGCTCTGTGTTAACCAAGACGTTCCCTTGTTGGTGTCTTGCAGGGCACTTTGATTACCAGTATGGATACCGGAAATTTGAGGGCTCAGATGGCTCCCGCACCCAGAAGTATGCTAGCAACATCACTTACTACTTTGACAACATTAGCAGCACCGAGCTCTATAGCGTGGACCAGGAACTGCTCAAGGACTACATCAAGCGGCAGATGTAAGCTGTTCAGCCTCACAAGAGCAGAAGCAGGGGGATTATTTCCATGGGGGGGGGGGGGGGGTGTCCTGAGGAAGGTGGCTGATCTGTCTCTCACTGATGTGTTGTCCACACAGAGAATATTACTTCAGTGTGGACAACCTGGAGCGAGACTTCTTCCTGCGTCGCAAGATGGACTCAGATGGATTCCTTCCCATCACCCTGATTGCCAGTTTCCACCGGGTACAGGCACTGACTACTGACATCAGTCTCATCATTAAGGTGAGGGCCAGGAAGGCTGAACCTTCTCTCTTGTCTGGCTTCTTGTTTTCTTGTCCTTGACTTGCTCCCTCCTCCTCTTGAATCACATAGGGAGGAAGGACTGAAGCTGAGTCCCTCAGTATGCCAAAGCAGGGCCTTGAGCTGACCTGATTTTGCTTGGTTCTAGGCTTTAAAGGACAGCAAGGTGGTGGAAATTGTGGACCAGAAGATCAGAAGAAAAGAGCAGCCAGAAAAGTGGGCTCTGCCTGGCCCTCCTATGGCAGACTACACACAGACTGACTTCTCACAGTTCATCAACTGCCCCGAGTTTGTGCCCCGGCAAAGCTTCCAGAAGGAGACAGGTTAGTGTCTGGGGGTTGTGGAGGGAGGGAATTGTGAGACGCAGCTTGGTGCCGCAGCAGGTCTGAGCCCCTGAGTGTCATGAGTGTTCCCCAGGACAGGGTTCTGCCTTTTGGTTTGTAGGCCTGAGTTTGAGTAGCCAAGTAGAGAATCTGATTGGTGCTGTTGTAAGAGTTTATGCAGAAGAACATCTCTTCTCACTCGTACCAGGCTGTCATGGGAAAGTTTCTCCCAGAGCAACAAAATCACCACCTGCTTTAGGGCTCTCTACATATCTGGGAAACCCACACCTGCAAAGCTCTGTGGTCACCACCAGCATCACAGCCTTAACCAGAGATTTTTTTCAGCACTCTGGGGCAATATGCTGGTGAGCAGGAATGTTCCTGCCTTAGTCATTGCCTGCTCATGTGTCCCACAAGCTCTGCTGCCAAAATAACTTCCTCTAAATCAAGTGCTTTATTGTATGCTACCACTCAAGCCTCCCACTAAAGCATTTGTGGCTCTTGTTGGCTCTAGAGTCTGCTCCTGGCTCCCCACGTCCCACCAGTCCAGTCCCCACAAAAACAGAGGAAGTCAGTAACCTGAAGACAATGCCCAAGGGCCTGTCCACAAGCCTGCCCGACCTGGATTCAGAGACATGGATTGAAGTGAAGAAGAGGCCTCGGCCCTCTCCAGCCAGGCCCAAGGTATGTAGCAATGTAGACTATTGGGGTGGAGGCCTACTGGTTGTTTTTTCAGGGGCTGTAACCCTAAGTGAGCAGCAGGTTTCAGACCACATAAGGTCTGTTCATCATGAGCGATGCCCCCATCTACTTTGGGGCTGCTCCTCAGTGGCAGAGATATAAATAAGGTGTTCTCCCCAGACAGACAACTTCTGGCTGTCATGAAGAAACATGGGGCAAGAGCTGGGTCTCCCAGCAGTAGGCCTGTGCTCTGTGTGCTCTTTGTGCTGCATCACCATTGCTCCTTCTACCCTTAGAAACCAGAGGAGTCAAAGACCCCACAGCAGCAGAAGCAAAAGGACCAAGATGAACCCGAGGAGTTGGACTTCCTTTTTGATGAGGAGATGGAGCAGATGGATGGCCGCAAGAACACGTTCACCGACTGGTCAGACGAGGATTCAGATTACGAAATTGATGATCGGGATGTGAACAAGATCCTCATCGTGACTCAGACGCCTCCATACCTACGCCGGCATCCTGGCGGAGACCGGACTGGCAACCACACATCCAGGGCTAAAATGAGTTCAGAGTTGGCCAAGGTGATCAATGACGGGCTGTACTACTATGAGCAAGACCTGTGGACAGAGCAGTTTGAGCCAGAGTACTCACAGATCAAGGTGAGAGAGGCTGATCTGAGGAGGAGAATTCACAAGGGGCACATGGCTCCTCCCAGGGAGGTATGGTGGGTTGGCCATGGTGATGGTTTGGGTTTGGTACAGCAGTTCCTGGCCCGGGACTGGGACAGAGCTCAGCAGGGACTGATCTTGCTGCAGAGCTCAGGATTCCTGGTTTCCAGTGTCATGCTGTGCTATGTTTGGGATAAATATAGCTCTGTAACGTGCTGTAAGGCTGCAGCCAGTAGACTGAGGTTCTGGTAACCAGGTGACCTGGAAAATGTGGTCCACTGATCTGCTGTCTGCCAGGGTCTTGGCTGTTCAAGACTGCAGTAGTGTATAGGCAGCGGCAGATGACTTGAGGGAACTAGCTGTCTGCACTGCCTGTAGTGCCTAGTGCTTAATGGCACGGTCTCTTGAGACCTCAATTACTGTTCATTGATGACTGGGACACTTTTGGCCTGTGCTGTTCTCCATTTTTCTGCCAGTTTGCATAGGCTGGTGCTTTTTTTTATAGGAAACTCACCTGCCTCTCTGAGTTTGAGTCCCAGGTTGGTGACTCTTGCAGTCAGGAACTTGCCCCAGGCTCTTGCAGTGACTGAAGCTGTATCTTGTGCTCAGCATTGTGGCTGTTGCACAAGCAGAGTGGTGGTCACAGCAAGCTGTTGAGATGAGGGGACAACAGAGTGTTTGGTTGCTTCATCATCTTCCTCTTCCAATGCAGCAAGAGGTGGAGAACTTCAAGAAGGTGAATATGATCAGCAGGGAGCAGTTTGATACTCTGACCCCAGAGCCCCCCGTGGATCCAAACCAGGAGGTCCCTCCTGGCCCCCCCAGGTTCCAGCAAGGTAAGACAACGTGGACAGGAATGGGTAGGACTGAATTTGTCCCCTTTCCTCTTGGTGAGTGGTCCTCAGAGGTTCAGAAATAGCTAGAGGGAAGCAAGTAGAGCCATAGCTGTTTATCTTTCCCAGTGGAGTGTTGTTCTCCCAGTTAAATGATTTGGAGTTCCAAAAGAGGAGGCCCAAAAGCAGGAGTGTCTCCACAGAGTGAGGAAATCTGGGCAGACTTCCATGAGGCTTTCCTCTTGGACCCTTCCATCTCAGTGTCCCTTGCTGAGTATTTTAAAGGCAGTTATCTGCTGGGCCCTGCTTGCCTGTTGGTGGAATCTGATGCCCAGGCAGAGCACTGGTGAGATCTTCCCCTAGAAAGCAGATACTTTGCACGGTCCCTGAAAGTGTCTGCTTTCCTGCTGCCAGGCTTTGATTTCTCTGGTTGCAGACTGGCTTTGCAGTTGTTTGTCTCAGGAGGACTAGGATGTGTCCAAGAGATCCTAATCCAGTGGGTGCCCTTTGGCTGTAGTGATGCTCTTGTACTCAGAGATCAATTTGACCCAGCTTCGGGGGGTTTATCTCTGCAGTACCTACAGATGCTTTGGCTAACAAGTTGTTTGGAGTACCTGAACCTTCAACCATCGCACGATCTTTGCCTACAACCGTACCAGAATCACCCAACTACCGCAATGCCAGGACCCCCAGGACCCCTCGCACGCCTCAGCTGAAGGACCCTACACAGACACCCCGGTTCTACCCAGTGGTGAAGGAGGGCAGGACGATAGATGCCAAGGTAGGACCAGGGCTGGGGCGTGGGGTGGGAGGCCGGGACTTCCCAGGTGGGATGTGGAGAGGAAGCAAACATGTCCCTGATGTACTGTGTCTCACAGACTCCACGGAAGAGGAAGACAAGGCACAGTTCAAACCCCCCAATGGAGTGCCACGTGGGCTGGGTGATGGACTCCCGGGAGCACAGACCTCGAACTGCCTCCATCAGGTACTGGAGATGGAAGAATGGGGTCATGGAGGGACCAAGAAAGGAAAGGGAGCAAGTGAGGGAAGGGCAGTGTTTGATCTCGTAGGGCAGGTCACCTCTTAAGTGACTGCAGAAGGAGCTGGGACCTGTCTCATCCTAGAGGGAGCTGTGAAATTTTGCAGTTTTGAAATAACGAGATACAATTTATCTGGGAGTGTCGGTTTCCTTTCTAGTAGGATGCTCTGTAGCTCAGGTCCCAAACTTGGAGTGGATGCGCTCACAGGTGGGACAAACAAATGAGTGTTGCAGAGTGGAGCGTGACTGCACTGTGTTGTTTGTTGTCTGGTTACAAAGGAAGGGGGTTGATGAGGCTCTCTTGTGTGCAGCTCCAGCCCCTCTGAGGGAACTCCGGCCGTTGGAAGCTATGGCTGCACCCCGCAGTCCCTGCCCAAGTTTCAGCATCCTTCCCATGAGCTGCTCAAGGAGAACGGCTTCACGCAACACGTCTACCACAAGTACCGTCGGCGCTGCCTTAACGGTAGGCATGTGGGGAGGGCTTCCTCCCTCTGGGTGTGGGGCAGGGTGCTTGTGATCTGTTGTATAGGGGCATGGGGTATGGCAGCAGAGTCCATGCACAGTGGTAAATGGGGTCTTGGAGGACAAGCTTGCTGGTGGCAGATAATTCCTCATGGTCCAGAAAGTTAATGGTGTCCAATAATATGTATAAAATTTATATATATAAATTTATATATATATAAAATAAGACCTTCCTCAGTGAGATCCCCTGTGTCTGGCTGGTTCCCTGGGAGAAAGCATCTGTCTTGTAACCAGCCGTTCTTCCCAAACAGAGCGAAAGCGGCTGGGCATTGGTCAGTCCCAGGAGATGAACACGCTCTTCCGATTCTGGTCCTTCTTCCTACGAGATCACTTCAATAAGAAAATGTATGAGGAGTTTAAGCAACTGGCTGTGGAGGATGGGAAAGAGGGATACAGGTAAGAGTAGAAGAGCTGAATGGCCTTTTTTGAGATGGGATTGTGGGAAGGGTATTTAGTCTTTGAAGGCTTGAAGGTAAGACCAGGACCACCCTGGATCACATCCTTTTTCTGAGATGCAGCAGGGTTCTTGCCTAGGTGTTGCATGCACCAGTGTCTGAGCACCACATACTCTTCTGTTCCAGGTATGGTCTGGAGTGCCTTTTCCGATACTACAGCTATGGGCTGGAGAAGAAATTCCGGCCAGACATATTTAAAGACTTTCAAGAAGAGACCATCAAGGATTATGAAGCTGGTAAGTGTCTCCTTTGCCTTCACCTGAGTTTAGCAGTGATGTTGCCTGGATGAACATGTGCTCTTGTGCCTCCTTTTGTGACCTGGGGAAGGCCATGTAATTCTGTGTCTGACAGTGACAGGCTGTGACATCCTTGAGCCCTGCTGTCCTGCAGGTAAGAAATGCTCCTGCACATAGCAGAGCTGCTTGCTTTGCAGGAGATGGTTTAGTGAATATGGAGCTATGGGAATATGGAGCTAGATTGTGGAAAGTCACAGCTTTCCCACCACTCATTGTGGTCACCAATCCAGTCACAGAGCCTGGAGCCATTTCCCATCAAGGGTGCTGCCCTATGCTGATGTAGATTGCTTTCCTCCAGGTTCCTTGTATTTTGTCAGTGCCAACCAGTAGGACAGGTGGGCCCATGGGACAGGCAGTGAGGAAGCCCTGAGGAAAGACTTCTGACTCCTGGTTTGATTTTCTTCCCCCTCTAGGCCAGCTCTATGGGCTGGAAAAGTTCTGGGCCTTCTTAAAATATTCCAAAGCCAAAAATCTGGACATCAACAGCAAACTGCAAGAATACCTCAGCAAGTTCAAGCGCCTCGAGGACTTCCGAGTGGACGTGAGTAGAAACAGTGCCCCCACACACCACAGTGAAGGACCCCCACAGCTGCTCCAAGGCCTTTCCAAGGGCAGAGGGTTTCAAGACAGGGTTGCTGAGCACTGTGGCCAGGGGAGTCAGTGACACCTAGTGTCATAGTGCATCATTGCAGCTGGGCCAAGAACAAGCAGCCTCAGCACTTCAAAGTCTTGTGTCATCCTGAAGGATCCTGCATCGCTGAGACAGCAAAAGCTCAGAAGCCAGTCAGGGCTGAGATTTATTAAGAAGCCCTGTGTGCTTTCCTTTCCCTGGAAAGTGAAGGCCATTCTCTGTATCTTAGCTGGGCAGTGAGTGAGGCTGGATATTGCAGCATTGTGCTGGTGTTGCTGCCAGCTCAGGTACTCAGAGATCAGTTCAGGTACTGAACAGAAGCTGAGGAGCTAAGGCTTACACACCATCCTTGGAGCACAAGGATATGAGCAGAGATGAGTGAAGGTTTGGAGATGTGGCTCAGATGGATGTGATGAATGCAGATAAACCATTGAGTAGGTAGAGGAGGATATCTGTTTGAATGGAGCAGCAGAGCTGCATGCACTGCCCATGCAGACACATGCTAGGTCTTTTCTTACTTCTTGGGTCTTTCATATAATGTCTGAATCATCAATCAGACTTCCAGTTACTACTGCCTTGATATCTCTAAAGCAAAGCAATTGCTGCAGGGTTTGAATGCTGTACATCAGCTTCAGGGCAGCTCTACGGGGAAATAGATGACTGCCTCTTCCCTGGTGATTTGGTGGGAGAGGAGAAAAACAGGAGGAAAGGGAGCCTTAATGGCTTGAGTGGAGCTGGCCTTGTGTAGCTTTGTCTCCCAGACTCCTGGACACTGTTCCTTTCAGGAGGAAGGAGGTGCCTTAAGCACAGGGTGACAGCTTGGTCTTTCTTGGAAGACTGTCAGCAATTCTGGCAGTGGTGGATTTGGAGAGGAGAGCAGCTGTCCCAGTACTGTGTGACTTGGGTAGGTATGTGTGTTCCCCGTGGGTCAGAGGGGCTGCAGTCAGGAGCCTGCAGCAGGGATGCTTTCTGATCCAGGGGAGAGAATGTGCATTCGATAGAGGCTGTGCTGATACTGGGGTGCTTCTGTTGCAGCCACCCATGGGAGAGGAAGGTGGACACAAGAGATACCCAACGACGTCAGGGGGAGATGGCAGGAAGCGCTACCCATCCCAGTCTTCCAGCAAAACGGTCAGCCAGTGCCCATCCAGCCAAGCCCACGCCTCGCCCAGTCAGCCTGCACAAGAGGATGCCAAAAACCTGAGCCAGCAAGTCCCTGCTGCAGAGTCGCAGACAGTGGGGAAGTAGAGAGGATGCAGCTTCTGCTTCCCACCAGGAGACAGGATGGGTTGTGGGGGACTGGCTCAGAGAAGAGGATGAGGGGTGTGATGGGAAGGGAGTTGGAATGTGGGTGCCCAGGAATAGCCTGCTGGGAGAAACTTCAACGCACATGATTTTTTTTCTCTTGTGGCTGGAAAGCAAAGACGATTCGCATCTAAAACACCGTTTTGCTATTACAAACCTGACCAGAGCCAGACCCACCCCCACCAGATCCACCCTTTGCTTTTCCTTCTCATCCCTCCCCTCCTGTGCACACGCTCGTGTCTTAGTGTATCTTCAAAAAATATTCTGGCTGGGTTGGAAAGGGGAGATTTTTTTATTATTATTATATATATATATCAAGTTTTAAATTATTGCTAGAGGTTTGTCCAGATTTACCAAAACAAGTCCGCTCTGTGCAGCCCTGGTGACTCCTTTTGTGTCCCCACCCCTTGGATCGCTGGGCAGCCCGGCCAGGAAGCTCGGAGGATTGAGGTTCCCTCGCAGGGGCCGAAGCCACAGCATTGCAGTGCTGCGGAGCCTCTGATCTCCATGACCTGGCTGACATTTCCCATCCCATGTCTGGCAGTGCTTCTTCGACACCAACCGTCGCTAAAGGCACCCAGCTCTGTTGGTCTTCCCGGTCCGTCCTCCCCAGCGTCTTCATCTCCAACCTTCTCGCGGGTCTGGCTCTCCCTCTGCCCACCTCTTCTCCCTTCCATCACGGACAATTTGGAAATCAACCAAAGGACCTTTGCCAAGGATAGGTTTGTTGTGACTCCTTCCTGCAAGAATGGCAGCTGGGAGGCTGGCAGGCACTTGGACTTGAAATCTGCGTGGATGCCGCAGCCGCCTGCCCAGGGCCCATTGCATGCGAAGACAGGACTTTGCTGAAGGAGCCTTCCTCTTCCTTTTCCCTTGGAAAAATGAAACAAACAACAACAAAAAAACACAATACCCCTGAAACAACAACAACAACAAAAACTCTAGAAAGACATCTTCCTTTGCTTTCTTCCTTGGATATATTAATTGAAGAAGAAAAAAAAAGAAAAAAAACCCACAAAAATACAAAAAAAAAAAAAAAAAAAAAAGTTGCCTTATGGTGGAGCTGGAATGGGGAGGCTCACTGGCCTCTCGTGCCCCAGGGCGTGCTGGGCGTTTGGCCCACACCCACAGACTCCTCCCGGCACTGCTGCCGAGCCCACCTGCCCTGCAGCCTCCTCCAACCCACAGCTCCCTGGGACGCTCCTGCAGGGAAGGCACCGATGGCAGTCATACTCCAGACTTGTGCTCACCAAGTAGTTGAAGTCCTATGTTGTGTACATACTACTGTAGCATCCTCCCTGCAACGGTGACTGTGAGCTTGTGACATCGCTCGGCCTTTTCTGAGCAGCCTGGGTTGTGCCTGGGAGGTGGGCAGCGTCTGTCGAGGCAGCTGGAGGGACTTTGGTGCTGGGAGGGCAGGCAAGGCCTCATGCAACCCGATGCTGTTGTCTGATACACAACTCCTGCTGCCAGCCAGTGAATCTTGCTCTATGTCCCAATAGGCAGTTGCCCATTGGAGGAGGGCTGTTGCCTGGGTAGCTGCACTGGGGGCTGTGACAATGTCCTGGGGGCTGTGCTGTGCAGCACCGGCTGGGCTGTGGCCAGCAAATCCTCCCCAGGTCCATATTGGTTGCATCCCTCACAAACATGTGGCTGTGTGGGGGGCATGGTCCAGGAGTGAGATCAGTGCCCCCGGCTCAGAGCACCTCTTCAGTGAGAGCTGCTGGCCCTGTTGCTCTGCTCTGTGCCCTGGGTCAGGACCTGTGCTTTGCAGCTGGCTTGGTTGAAACTCTGGCACGCTGTCCTCATGTGCTGTGAGCATGCTGTGTTTGCATGGTGCGGAGCGGGCGCTTGGTGGGCTGTGGAAAGATGCAGCTGATTGCATTGTCCTCTGCAAAATCAAAAGCTGGTAACGAACATTTCCCTAAAGTATTTCGAAGTCAGTACAGCACTGTGTCTTGTAGCTGCAGGAGGGAGCCGTGTCCTTAGGCTGTGTCTGTATGGCTGTGAGGCTTGCGGGTGGGAGTAACCAGGTGCTGAGCAGAACTCAAGGTGCTGAGGTGGGCAAGGGGCTGGAGGTTGGAGTGGCTGCAGCTGCTTGCTGAATCCTGGCTGATGTTGCCTTCCTGAACTGACACTGCATCAAAGTCTTGCTTTATAGGTGAGGGAGAGGTACTGGTCTACAGGGCAGCTTTGTGAACTTGGGATTGAGAGCATAGCCGAGGGTTGAGTGAAATTGGGCAGCTGCTGCTTCACTGTTTCCTCATGGTGTGATCTTGTTCTGGTCTGTCTGCTGCTATCACAACGTTCTGCAGCTTGGTACTGCTTGGAGGCTGGGTTTGGGATGTTATGTCCAGGTCCTCAACTTGCTCTGGGTTTCCCAGCGTACGCAGGCTGGGCTGGCAATTAGCTTTAGTGTAACTGCAGCCTCAGCTGTTATGTCTGCATTTCTCTTCTCCTGTGAGCTGAGTCGGATCTCTGATACAGTGCATGTGACAGGGCTTGGCCCTGCTTTGGGAAGGAAAAGCCTTGGAGCCTGGACTTGGGGTTGACCAAGGCTGTTAGAGAAGTTTTGATGGTTGCGTGCAAGTGGCAGCAGGTTTGAACGTGCTGCAAGTGGTCCTTGCTGCGTTCCCTGTGTTCCTCTCATTGGTGCGTGTTCTTTGGATGCCGATGAGCTGCTTTTGAGCAACAAACAAAACAGGAAACTAGGAGAAACAAACTCCTGCTGTGGAGATGTTCCTTGTGGATCAGACTGTGGAATTGATTGGGTGATAGAAGAGGCAAAGAATGTCCCATAGAATTTTCCAGAACTTGAACTGATCTGAAATTATCCCTCTAATTTCTGAGGCTGAGGCTCTGTCTGGTCTTGGCACGGAAGAGTTTTCCCCTCTGAGTCAGTGCTTGGTTGCATTGGTGTGGCTGAGGGTGGCTTTTGCAGGAGGTCAGAGGAGAGATCCCAGCCGTTGCAGTCTCTGTTAGGGGGCAGCGAGCTGTGTGCTGCTGTGTGTCCTGTAGCATCTCCATGGGACAGCAGCATCTCCAGAGAGTGAAGGGAAGGTGGAAACAAACAGCCTGCTCAGCTGGTGCCTGCTGCTGGGGCAGGAGGCAGCTGCTCTGTGCTGCAGGGCAGGTGATGACATCCGCAGGTACAGTGGAACTGCTCGAGGGCTGAGCTCTTCATGGCTGTCTCGTGTCCTACAGCAGCAGGCATGGGGACGGGGCTGCAGTGCTCCCCCTCTTGCGTGCACACCCTGCTGGTGCTGTGCATCAGGCACTGTGCATCAGGCACTGTGCATCAGGCACTGTG